TAAACTCTGAGCCTTAGTTTCTTTATCCATAAAATGGGGCTAATAAGGGATTAAAGTGAGTTTTAAATGATGTGAGATATCATGAATTCAAAAAGGTTGAAAATTGAATAGAAAAAGATGTAGCTGGGCAACTCAAACAAAAGAGAGCTGAAGTAGCAATTTTCATATTTGACAAGATAGAAGGTAACTCAATTATAAAGACAAGGATGTTAAATGCTCATCAAAGGAGCAATAATTAACAAAGTAATATAATAATCATGGACACATATGTAATGTAAAATATAAACTTGAAATATAAACTAACAACTGACAAAACTGCATAGAGAAGCATATAAGTCAACAGTTGGGCTTGGAAATTTTAATACATTCCTTTCTGAAAATGGCAAATCAAGTAGGCAGAATAAACAAGAATAAAGAACATTCAAAGGACATGATTAATAACTTGATCATACATGGAACAGTCGCAGAAATTAATCACATGCCAGGCCACAAAGGAATTATCAGTATATTCCAATAAATTGCCATCCCACAGACTGTTCAGACTATAAAGAAATGAAATTAGGAAACAGCCGTAGCTATAGAAATCTCATGTCTACATATTCTAAAATATTACTATTTGAAACACCACTATCTAATAGGCAGACATAGTGGAGATTACCAAAAAATGGCTAAATAATGAAAATGCTGTCAAAAACTGTAGGGGAATTTATAACTTTGAATTTATTTATTGTAAAATAAGAAAAGTTGAAAACAATTCAACTCAGAGTTTGACTCTAGGAATATAAAAGCAGCAGATTTAGATCAAAGAAATAAGGAAGGAAATAATATAAGAATGATGATGAACAAAATTTTCAAAGTAAAGGTAAAAGGGGAAGAAAATTATTAACAGCTAAAGTTCTGTGAAAAGATTAATACAATAGGCAAACCTTTGTCAGGTTTGATTGTGGGGGAAAAATATGAAGAACAAAATATGGAATGAAAAGGGCAAAAATAACTACAGATATAGCAGATGAATAACAAAATATTATAAACAACTATAAATCAATACATTTGAAAACCCAGGTAAACTAGATACATTTCTAGAAAAACTTAAGTGCCAAAATTACCACAGTAGACCTTGAGTACATCATTAACCACCAAGGAAAGAAAGGTAATTTACCACCCAAAAAGCCTCAGGATAAGATGGCTTTATAGGTAAGATATAAGAAACTTCATTGATCAGATAATTCCTGTACTTACAAGTTGCTTCAGAAAATGGGATAAGGAAAGGTGTCCCACTTGTACGATTTGTTGTTAAGACATACCAAAACCAGATATGAACTGCACAAAGAAAAAACTGTAGGTATATCACTTTGAATCATGAGTATATAAAACCTAAATGAAATATCAAGCTAATTACATATATTACTTCAAGCGGACTTTATCCCAGGTACTAGACGTGGTTCTGTTTTAGAAACGTCACTGAAGTTGACCACATTAATGGGAAAGAAAGAACGTGATTATCTCAGTGGATTGGAGAACATACTGAATAGAGTTCAATACCCATTTAATGAAAGCTCTTGGAAGTTTAGGAATTGAAAAAGAACTTCCTTAATCTGACAAAAGGTGTCTTCCAAAAATCTGCAGAAACATCATGCCTAGAGGAGAAACTTCTGTTTGAGGACAGGAACATGCTAGAGGTACGTGTTACCACCACTGCCAGCATAGTACAGGAGGTCCTGGCCACTGTAGGCAAGCAAGAAAACAAGGATAAGGATGGAGAGCAAAAAGACAAAACTGCTACTATTTGGAGATTATGAATGCATATAAATAACCTATGGGAATTAATGAACAATTAGAACTAATAACAAATTTTATCAGAGTTGCCCGGAAATGAAATACCATTTCTAGTAACTGCAAAACCCACAAAGTGACCTAACAAAAGATGCGCAGGACTTTTATCATAAAGACTTAAAAGTTCCTAAAGGTGAATACAACCAAATGGGAATAAATGAAGGGAAATACTCTTGGAAGCAAAAATTAATATTGTAAAGACATCAGTTCTCCCACAGATTAATGTATAAATTCAAAAATATAACAATCAAAATCTCAGGAGCATCTCTTTTTTTTGAAGATTGACAGGGTGATTCTAAAATTCATATGGAAGTATAAATACCTACTGTCATCTTGATGAGTTTGAAAAAGAAAAAAGGGGAATCACTCTACCCCAGGTCCTTTTGCTAAGCCACAGTGACAGAAACAGTGTGCTACTCAACACAGGAATAGGCAACCAGACCACGCATTCAATGCCAAGTCCAGAAACACACCAAAATACACGTGAGAGTGTGATAGGTGAGGGAAGACGCTTCATGAGGTAGGAGGAAGATGGACTGTGAATGTGATACTAGAAAATGGTCTTAATGGGAGTGTGGAGAGAAATGAAATTATATGCCTATCTCACTGCTATAAAACATACCAGACAGACTGAAGACCTAAAATGCGAAAGCTAAAATACAAAGGCAATAGATTAAAAACATAATAATTTCATGCATTTGGGAAAGATCCAAAAAATACTGATTACAATGGAAGAAGAGACTAATTTTCATCAAACTGAGGAAGGGCTGGGTTTGAGTAGCTGCTCTGAAAGTGACCATGTCTCTGGTTTCATTCCCTGGTCCAGGGCTTGTCAGGGGCAGTCACGGGGCTGAGGTCCCAAGTCAGCAGGCTCCTGGCCCTTGTACTGGGGAGTTGTGACAGGTGCTGAGGTTCGGTTCGCAGGAGGCCCAGGGTGCCTGAGGCAGAATAGGGTGCTTTGATTAATCTGTTTTCTTGGTTTGAATTGCTGCTGTCCTCAGAGGGTTCAGACTCACTCTCTGGAGGAATCTCTTGGTGAGGAGCCTCCAACACAAGCGTGTTGGCTAGGGCAGACCATGAGAACTGAATCAGCCCAGGCGTTAACGGTACTATCCTCACTGGTAGGGTGAGTTGGGGGCAGTCTAATGCCGGGGGGTGAACTGGTCACTGATGCTGCACAACCAGCTCTGCCTGGACTCCAGAGTCATGTCAGGAGCCCATTAAACCGGAAGGCCCCACCTCATTCACTCTGATTCAGAAGGTGTGAGGCAGCTCAGGAATCTGTCCAGGGTCCCGCAGATCAGAACTTCTCAGCTCCCAGGGATGCAGGATGAACTGGGCTGCTGAGGGGTGTGCATCTAGTGTGTGCACACCTTGGCAGGATGGGAAGCACAGTGGTTGGGATGGAAGGAGGAGAGCAAGGGGCCCACCAGCAGACGTGCGCAGAAGAGGAGCAGAGGCACATGAGGGCCCAGCTGTAACCAAACTGTCCATTGTGGGGGTTGCCCTTCCCCTGCCTGTGCTGGAATGGTCCGTTAATCACCTGCTTCCTTCCCTAGCCTTTGAGGGAGCTCTTTGAGGGCAAGAACCTTGCATTCATTCATATAGTCAGTCATTCATTCCACAAATATTTACTAAGACATTCATATGGCAGGAACAGGCGCTGATAGGGAACAAGCTGCATCAGCCCAGCAGAGCTTCCAGGGAAACTGGCTGGCAATACGTCCCATGAGGCTCAGAAGCCCTGGGCTCCTCTGACCTCTCAAAGCCACTGAAAACTGCTCCTAAGAAAATTAAATTGCTCTGTACCCTCCTTTGGGAAATGCACTCCTCCTGGGCATGTGGTCTAGGCCAAGGCCTGTGTTTGGACCTTCAGGGCATCCAAAACTAGCCAGGGCCTGGTTCTTGGTGGGTGTGCACTGGTGTGCATGCCCATTCTCAGGCTTCGGGCAGTGAGCCTTCTGAGCCCCCAGCTGGAAGGGCAGGCCCTTTATTGACCTTAGGAGGTTCTAAGCAAACCACAAATCTGATCCCAGGTTGGCCTCGTGTTCAGGTGACCTGGGCATGGCTACAGTGATGGCCAGGACTGACATTTTACTGATACGTGCTTTGTGCCAGACACCTGGCATATCCTCTCCCCTCTGTCTCTCCCAGAAAAACTTGGGGAGGAGGATAAGTCCAGTAGACATATTCAGAGGCTCTGACTCTTGGGAGGAGAGGGTTCAGCACGCCTAGCATCAGGTCATACAAAGGTTAGCTAACAGGAGTGCCACTTTATCTTGCCCCCTCCCTCTCCAGCCCCCAGCCAGGGGCTGTGGGAGGACTCCCCCAGCAGGCACAGTGGCCTGGAACTGTGACCTGGAGGAGCTCTGCTACATGACTCCAGGACCTGGCCTCAGGGGCCTCCTTGCTGGGGTGGGGTGAGGCGTGGGTGGGAGCTGAGGAGGGGCGCCTCTGCACCCCAAGTGCCAATGAAAACAACACGATGCCCTTCTGACCTTCCATACTGGTAATAGCTACATCTGTAATCAGAGCGATCATAATACATTAAGTGAAAGAAGATTACAAAAAAGCACTTAGGACCGCAATTTCTACTACACACACTTGTTTCTGGAAGAAACTGGAGAGCAATGCATCAACCTGTTGGCGGTTATCACTGGACGTCCTTCCCTCATAAAATGTTTCCTTTTACTTAGCTACAATTTCTAATTTGTATACAGAAGCTATGATTACTTGTGTCTTTAACAGGAACGGAATTTGCAAGCTCTGAGTGTCACCAAGTTGGGGGCTGCGCCCGTTCCCGGGTGGGCGGGGCCTATTTGCACAAGCAAAGGGGTGGGCGCCAGCCCCGCCCTCCCACCTGCCCGCTGGGGTGTGGGGCGGTGGAAGGATGAGGCGGGGAGGAGGATGGGGGTCGGTCTCCCCAGAGCCGCCGTGTGCGGCGCTTCGGAGCCACGCGCGTCGGTGCGCGGGCCGAGCGTGGCCCGCCCGCGGAGGGTGCGCGCCGGTGGGTGGGGAGGGGGCGGCCGGCTGAGTCTCCCGGGCCGGCGCGGAGTGGGGGCGCTCCCGGGAGGGAACGGAATCCTACCGGCGTAGCCTGGCCGCCTGCCTGGTTCCCAGGAGGGCTGGGCGGGGTCTGACCCCCCCTCGGGGCTTCTGTTCCTTAGATCCACTTTCCGGACGTGGAGCGGGTCGAGTGGGCCAACAAGGTAAGGCAGGGGCGGCTGGAAGGCGGCGGCGCGGCGCGTGGACGAAGGCTGCCCTGGCAGCAAGGGCCCATGAGGGGCAGACAGAGATGCCCCGTGGCCTCTGGAGTGGTGGCCTGCCTGCCTCTCTCCCTTCCCGTCCTCAGGGTTCTTATCACCAATGAGTTTCTTCTTTTCTTTTAAAAAAATGCCTTTAATTGCAAAATTAATGCATGGCCCCAGCAGAAAAGTTAAGAAAATACAGATTAGTATAGAGGAAAATGCAGCCTGCCTGGCCCACCAGGCAATGCGTAGTGCTTTCTAGGGAGGCGCAGGCACTATCTGACAACTGCTGGATTTCTCCTGGTTCCCAGCTCAGATCTGCCACTACTGGCTGTACGGCTCCTGCCGGTTGCATAACTCAAGAGCTGGTTCCCTCTTCTGGCAATGGGAATAATTATGGTCCCGGCCTCGTGTGATCGTGTGAGGATTCATGAGGTAATTAATGCACCACAGTGCCTGGCACGTTGTGAGCGCTTGGGCACGCTGTCGTCATCGTATGTCCGCCTGTAGGTCACGCAGGGGAACTCCCTGTGGGCCGTGGTGCCAAATGCCCCAGGGAGAGACTGGACTCTGTGACCCCAGGTCTGGCCTCTCTTACAAGTGAGGAAGCAGAGTCCAAACCCCACCTGTGAAGACTCCTCCATGCCCCCTCAGGTCTCCTGACTTAAGACTGTTCTGGATAGAGGCTTAGCCCATAGCAGAAACGACTTAGGTTAGGCATATGAAAGGACTTGCTGATGGTTTCTGATCTGAGTTTGCTATTCTCATGTTACCAGAAATGTCATTGCCAGGGGGGTCAAAAAATGTCCCCAACCTCTGGGTGAAACTTGGAGGATGTAGGTTGCTACTTTAAGAGGAGTGACTGATTTCTGTGGGTCAGCACAGGGCCCAGGACCTCTGGGACAAACCTGTGCCGTTCCCCCGAAGTTCAGTTCTTGTGCACGCATCAGCTGGTTCCTGGCCCCCACACACACACGCCCATCGTCCCAGCGCTGACACACGGAGGCCCACACAAGGGCGTGGACATATGACCATGGGGTTGAGGCTTCAGCCCTCAGCTCAGGTCACAGATGGCAAAGCAGCTGTGCAGATGAACCACACGCCAGGGAATGAAGTGTGTCCCCCTGAGCTGTGTATTCCAGAGGCACTTGGCAGATGATAAACCCGCAAGACAGGACCAGCCCCTAGAGAGGCCCCTGAGAGAAACTGGGGCAACGAAGCCCTGAAACCTCACTCCTCCTGGTTCCTCCGATCATGTGTTGGGGAAGAGTGAGGTGCATCTTTACACTAAGACCCAAGTCTGCGAGAGGGAAGAGGGAGAAGCCTCTGGCCCAGACAGACCCTATCAGCTAGCCGCTCCTCCCTCCATGCCTCTCTCTGATCACTATCTCCTGCCACCCTCCTCCCCAGGTCCCACGCTTGGGTGTCAGACCAGCGCCAAGAGTCATTCTGCTGCAGAAATCAGCTGAAGGCTGCCTTTTCTGATTGCTAGAAAAAATTAAGTCCACAGGAAACTATTTAAGTTTCTCTTCTGTTATGTTTTTTTCTTAAACTACTGGCACCCACTTCCTGTTTACATGACAATGTCACGTCAGATAGCTTATGTTTTAGTGCAGAACTGAAGGGCTATCATAATATTAAGCTAGTGAATGACTATTCCATGGTGCTCTGCAAAATGGCACCAAGTCTCTGTTAGACGGGTCCAAGAGTGAGAACCACTGCTACAGTTGTCCAGTGTCTGGTGGAAAGGTGTGTGGGTCGATGGGCACGAGGGTGGGGAGGCAGGCAGATGGCACTGTGCTGGAGAGGCCAGGGGCCCCGACCCCAGGGCCAGGTGGTCCTGGGTAGCTGTGGGTCTGGGGCAGGGGCACAGATCTGACTACCGAGGGTCTCTTCTTGTCCCTACAGATCATCTCCCAGACATGGCCCTACCTGAGCATGATCATGGAAAACAAGGTCCGGGAGAAACTTGAGCCTAAGATACGGGAGAAGAGCTCCCACCTGAGGACCTTTGCCTTCACCAAGCTCTACTTTGGTCAGAAGGTTGGTGGACTTGCTGTGCGGTGTTGCCTCTGTCCCCAGCCCCCACCTGCACCTCCCAGCCTCTAGGCCTCAGGGCAGACCCCTCATCCAGAGTCCTGCCACCACCCTCTCAGCAGGTCCTAAGGAAGCCTGGCTCAGAGAGAGCAAAGAGAGGTGGGAAATAATTCCACTTTTCTTAAGCAAAATTTTGAAAACATGCTCTGCAGTATAAGCCAGCTGGAGCCAAAGATGTGCAGGTCACACTCCCTACCCTCAGGTGGGAAGAACACACTCTCATGGTATGAGATAGTGCCTCAGAGCAGCATGTAACTCTCCGCTAACTGGATTCTGGCAATCAAGCCAATCAATGTGCAAGGCCACACTAGTTCCACGAGGAGAATAAGTGACCTATGATAAAAGAAGCTTGTGTGTAACCTATCTGACATCATGTCCCTACTCTAGACTGAGTTTCCTATTCCACCCTCTTGATCCACTCCACCTGCCCCCAAGGGCACCATTGATGTAAGTCTTATCTTGATCATCTGAAAATGCAAATGCATCCCCTGGCAGAGGACCATTGTGAAGATGGTAAGTCAGAGGCACTGGCTTCTGGTCTGTCCTGGAACAAGCAGGTGTCAGGATGCAGGCCAGCCTGTGGAGAGCTGTCTGCTCACCCTGGGGCATGTGCCTGGCTCTGAGCTGGGGGTGGACCAGGCATGCCTCAGCCCTGAAAACTGGTTTGTATTCCTCTGCCTCTGCCAGGACTAGCTTGTCCCAGTGTCTGCTGGTCCATTTGTTCATTCCCTGGTTCATTCACAAATGATTTAGTGAGCACGGCTGTGTGGGAGGCACCGTGGACAGGAGGGTGTGGCTGTGCCCCTGCCTTCAGGAAGGTCACTGTCCTGTTGCGGAGGCAGTCACATAAACTGTGGATGACAACATGGCGGTGTATGCGCTATAGTGAAGGAATGCATGAATTCAAGAGTGGGGGAGTAGTCAGGGAAGACTTCCCAGATGGCATGATGGCTCAGCTGGCATTTGAGGATTTCATTACCCTGAGAGCGCAGACGGCTGTGTCTGAAGCAGACCCTGCTCAGCCGGGCCGCTTGCCCGGTAATAATGCCTGTGGGATGTGCTGCTGCTAGAAAGTCATCCCTTGCCAGCAGTAGAATCAGGCCTAGAGGTGGCTAATCCTAAGGGATGATTTTTACTATGTCAGGAGAACCCAGGGGCCCAGCAGGCTGACCAGATGCTCCAGCCCTGCAGAAATACCTGACTCCTGCTCCTGGCATTCAAAGCCCTTTAATGTCTGGCTCCTCCCACCCAGCCCCACCTTGGATCTCCCATCCCCCTTCCTTCCTCCCCTCTCCATTGGTTGGGGGATCATGAGGACTTCTCAGTGACCTTCCTGGGCTCCGCCAGGACTCAGTGCACTCAGTTTCCTTCACATCCCATGAGTGTCTGGCTCCTAATTCCTGTGCCCATGCCCAGGTCTGCTCTTGCCATGATGACCTTGAGCCAGTGACTTAACCTCTTGGAGCTCCAGTGTCCTCATCTGTAAAAAGAAAGGACCCACTTCTAAGGGTGGTTGTGAAGTGTGACTAAAAGGCCTGGCCTCAGGGCCACTCTGCTCGGCTGTGTGAGCAGTGCTCTGAGTAGGACACTGGCCGAGAGAGGGCCAGTGGGGGCCAATGTCTAGCCCTGTGCCCTCACCTAACAGTGAGCCCTGGGCCAGGGCTGTCCCGCCTGGCACAGAGCAGCTGCTGTTGGTGGTCACCCCCTCTCTGTGCTGTGGGCTTCCAGGCAGCAGCCTTCCCAGGACCCAGCTCTGTCCTCAGTGCCCAGGAGCAGGCTGCAGGGGAGTCAGTGGCAGTGCCCCACACCCCAGGCTGCCCCTAGCTTTTCTGGGTCTAGTGGCCCTGGAAGCCAAGGCAGAGCCAGGCGCTGTGCAGTCTGCAGCTTCTGTAATTCTGGGGTCCCCTTTAAAGAAAAAGAATCTAAAACTTAAAATGTAAAATTAGGATAAAAATGAATATTAAAGATGAGAAAGAATGAGAAACAAATCACAGCAAGCTATACATTTTAAAAGCTGATAGATCACACATATCACCAACTCTGGAAAAACTATAAAATAATTTTAATTAACTGCTTGACATGTCCCTATAATGTTTATTTTCCCTGCAATTTTGACTCCCCACTCTTCAATAACATTTTCATGTGACATTTGTAAGTATCACTTTCTGTGGAGAGAGTAGAAAGCTAATAGGATCTGTCTTCTAGTATGGTTGATTGAATTACTTTCTCCAAAATTTTATTAGGAAAAATTTTGAACACACACAAAAATTGAGAGAATTATGCAGTGAACCAACTGGAATACACCACTGTTAACCTTTTGCTGCTTTTGCTTTTGTACATATCCATGCATCTAGCCTTTTGGCATCTTTTTTTAAATGCATATCACCCCTAACCACTTGAGCATGCATATCACTAACTCAAACTCAATTGAAGTTTATATTTTTATTCTGGATAAATAATAACCAGATCCCACTTCAGTGCCATCCGACACAAGAAGAGTCTGGGCAGAGAGGGGGAGAAAAAGTACCTCAGAGCTCAGCCCTCAGGCCCACAAGCTGGGGACGAGGGTCAGATCCAATCCTCCAGGGACCCTGCCCTCTCCCCTGCTGTTAGGGAGCCAACTCCCCATCTACCACAACCCTTTAAATGCCTTCTCCTCCAGGAAGCCTTCATTAACAACCCCCACCAACCCCGCACTGGGTTGGGAAGTGTTCCTGATGTCCCCATAGGTTGCACTCATGCCCCCTCCATTGTCCCCTCTGCCAAGCTATGAGCCCCTGAGGGCAGGCTCACCCATCTTGCCTGGCACAGAGTAGGTATTCAGTAAATATCTGTGGTAGGAGAGAGAACGAAGGTGCACATTCTTGGAAGGGAAGTGTCAGGGTGCCCAGGACAGATGGGCTGCACAGTGGAGTTCGGTGCTTGTGTCTCAGCCCAGGAGTGCAGGGGTCAGGTCGTTGGGGACAAAGCCCAGTGCTGGGTGGGGGAGCTGGTAGTTGTCCCCCACTGTAAAACCCCTGCTGACCAGCCCTCTGGCATCTCTTGCAGTGCCCCAGGATCAACGGTGTCAAGGCACACACTGACAAGCACAACCGGAGACGGGTGGTGCTGGACCTGCAGATATGGTGAGTCCTCCTGCCTGGGGGCCAGGCGCAGTGTGCAGGGGAACACTGTGGGAGCGGCCAGTGTAAAGGAGGGTAGCACATACACTCACAGCACACAAACCCCCTGTCCCTGTGGGGCGTGGAGGAGTATCAGGAGAATGGATGGTCGCTCTCTGACCCCTCAGCCTGGACCTGGCTTCTCCCATCACACCAGTAGCCAGCATGCTCTGGGCACCAAGGCCTAGGCAGCAGAGCTTTCTTGGAGGCCAGGGCCAGGTCACCTGGAGGGCCAGACCAGCTGCTCCTGGGAGGAGGGAGCAAGAGGAAGCCCAGGGAGCTCCAAGCACAAGCTAGGAGAGGCCAGCAGGAGAGCTGGCTCTGTGGCTCTTCAGGACCTAGAGGATGCAAAGACACAGGAATACTAGTTCAGTGGGTTGGGCATGGACATCCCTTTGGAGTGAGGTTCATAATAGGCTAGAGTAGGAGAGAAGGGAGATTGAATCCAGGAAGTCTTCCTGGAGGTGGTGAGATTTAAATTGTGCATTAAGGGACCAAGGTTCAACTCCCAAGTTCCAGAATGCTGCCATTCCTTTCCAGTGTCTCATATTTCCTGCTTCTGGTCTAGAGGCTGGCACTGAGAGCACCCTGGGAAAACAAGTCAGCTCGGAAACACCCATCCTCCTTTGGGGGCTGGTCTCAGGTGTGATGGATACTGGGTACTCCTTACCCCAAGGCTCTGCCAGAAGATCATATGAATAGTTGGGGCACATCAAGGTCAGCTGACCCAGTTTCCTAGTCGGCTCAGGCAGGCCCTGGAGGGCCCAGGTCACCCTTCCCGCCTTCCCAGGGTTGCTGTGATATCGGGCTCCTCTGCCTGTGCCCCCACCTCCTCTTCCCCTTAGTCTTTCCCTTCAGGCCTTCAGCAGGGTCTCCTGAACTTTGCCCTCAAGGATACCCATTGTGGGCTCCCTGTGCCCACCACTTGGCAAGAGCCACCAGCTGGACTCAGTCTCCTGAGACGTCGTTACCTGTGCCCACCTCCACTGCCCCAGCAACCACCTGGGTGCAGGGCTAGATGTCCCCAGGGAAGAGACCCGGGCAGAGACAGGGCAGGGGCCCAGCGATGGCAGAGGGGTGAGCAGTGTTCACCAAGAGCCCTTCACATCTGGGGGTATCATGGGGCACGGTGGTGCCCAGTCACTGCCGTCATGGGCAGGGGGGAGATGGGACATTGGGTGCAGGGGGTCGGGGTCAGTGTGTGCACAGAGTGGAGAAAGGCTGAGGGTCATAGGAAGGTCGTATCAGGGTCAGGCAGCTCCGGGTGGGTTTCTGACCTCCCTGGGTGGCTGACCTGCCCCTCCTCCCCGCCTTCTCTCCCCCTGCCCACTTCAGCTACATCGGGGACTGTGAGATCAGCGTGGAGCTGCAGAAGGTGCAGGCTGGTGTGAACGGGATCCAGGTAGGTGGGGCCAGTGGTTCTACCCTTGCTTCCTGCCCCTGGGGTCGGGGACAGGGCAGGAGGGAGCAGGCTCATGCTGCCAAAAGGGGTAATGATGCCTTACACAGTGGGGCTCCAGGCCCGAGGTCACAAAGCCAGAATTGGGGGGCTGGGCTTCACCAACCCACTGCTCGGCCTGAGAGACTTGGGCTGCCCGGGGAAGGGCGTGGTTCTGTTTACAGACTGATGTGGTGCCAGTGCTTGGCACCGAGTGGATTGAGGAGGTGGAAATGTCTTGTGGCAGGAGGAGAGGCGCTGAGTTAGAGCCAGGAAGTGCTCCTGGGTCCCTGCAGGCTGAGCCGGTCTGAAATGTGAGCCTGGCTGTGTGCACCCTCTGGCCAGCTCACCAGCAGAGGGCAATAGGAACAGCTCACGGCCCCTGGGTAGCCAGGAAAAGGGTGGCGGTGTGTGCAGGTTTCTGCACCCCAAGTGTGGACCCTGCTGTGACAGCAGGTTGCTCTTACATTTGGGAGAGGCATGGGCCCTAATGAGACAGTAGTGGCTCAGCTGAAGGGAGAGGCGAGAAGGGAGGCTGAGGTCCCTCACGGGGACCTCTGTGCCATTCCAGCTACAGGGCACACTTCGGATCATCCTGGAGCCCCTCCTGGTGGACAAGCCCTTTGTGGGAGCCGTGACCATGTTCTTCCTTCAAAAGCCAGTGAGTCCCAGGGGCAAGAGGCAGGCCGGCCACTCCCTGTGGTAAGCACTCATCTCCTGGGCCCCAGGCACTGGGCTTGACCCAAGAATGGACACTGCCTAAGCCACCTGGACCTGGCCACTGCACACCCCTTGTCTCACGGAATCGAAGGCAGCCTGAGGAGCTCGACGCTGCTCTCCCCAAGAGCAGGGAACAGCTCGGAAGTGGCTCACAGGCCACACCAGTGGTCTGAGTGGGGAGGGGTCTGTACCTCAGAGGCTCTGAAGCGAGGCCAGCCTGTGGCCGTGTGTGGTGGCCCACTCCTGTGGTGGCCCTGGCAGGGAAGCCGCAGACCTGGGAGGGGCCCTCACAGCCTGACACCCCTGCAGAGGGCTCCCCCAGCAGGCTGGGTTCTCCGTGCAGGTGTCTGGCAGCGGGTTCTCAGCCCTGTGCTTCTGGCTCCTTGCAGCCTAATAGCCTCCCTCTGCCCCTGCAGCACCTGCAGATCAACTGGACAGGCCTGACCAACCTGCTGGATGCACCAGGCATCAGGTAGATGCTCAGGAGTAGCGGATAGTAAGCAAGGGGCCCTCAGGGCTGTGCAGTCAGTGACCGGAGCTGCCCAGTGGCTTGCCCTCCCTCCCGGCTCTCTGTGAGAGGACTGGGGTAGGCACCAAGCCCTGCCCCCTGCAGGTGTGTTTGGAGGGGGAGTGGAAACCTAACAGTGCTGGCTGGCCTCTGTGAGCAGGCACTGTGCCCAGCACACTTGTGTGCACGCACATTGTGTGTGAGCAGGGGCAGGGTGCTCTGGTCAGATGATATGTCCCATTGGAGGCCATGAGGGCTCATGGGACAGCACAGGCTCGGGAGCCAAACCAGGCTCCTGAACTCTTGTCACTTAGCACCTGTGTGACTGTGGACAAATTATTTCACCTCTCGGCTCCTCCTCAATAACGGGGGAGCCTGGTTCCTCGATGACAGGTCCCTGGGAGAACACGTGTGTGCGTAGGGCCCAGAGGGTGTGGGCACCTGAGTGTCTTCCTTTTGTCTGCATGCCACCCCCTCCTGACCCAGGTGTGGGGTGAGAAGCCCACATGGCCTCCCCTGACCTCTGTCGCACACAGGCATGGGAGAGGGCGGCTGTCACAGCAGAGGCCGCTGAGGAGGAGCTGGCCTGGGAAGTCCCACCTTCCTGGGACCAGGGAGGGGGCTGTGCTCAGAGCCCGGAGGGAGGGACAGCTGGTGCAGCCAGGACAAGCCCTGGCCAGCTTGCCAGGCTCAAGCAGCCATGCCTGCCCGCAGGGAGAACCCCTCACTCAGGTACTGAGGACATTCCCGCTGATCTTGGTCCCCCGGATGCAGAGAATCCAGTCATGCGTTTTTTTCATTGAAAAAGTACTCAGCACCTGCTGTGTGGCAGTTGTCCTAGGCTATGTTCCTATCCCTCTCTGGGGAGATGGAATCAGGCAGTAAACAGAATTTTGATGGGACAGATATCAGGGAGTGGAAGGACTACAAGGGAAAACCCTTGCCCAGCATTTACTGTGCCCTAGGCTCTGTTTGCAGCACTTCACACACACCGGCTCATCTTCATAATAGCCCTAGGAGGTAGGCATCATTATCCTTATTTTTAGAGATGAGGAAACTGAGGTCCAGAGAGGATGGCAACTTACCCAAGGTCACACAGCCCATGGGTGGAGGAGCCAAGATTCTAACACAAGTTCCAGGCTGTCACTCTTAGCTACCAGGCTGTGGTGCCTCAGAGAAGAGCAAAGCAGGACCTGGTCAGTGGCTGTCAGAATATATGCCCCCAGCCAGGCAGGCCAGGGTCAGGGCTGCGCTCTCCTGGGCAGGGCCCAGCCCACCAAACTCTGCTCCAGGGGCTGGGCGGGGCATGCAGCCTGGGGGAGGTAGGGCCACCCCTCCACCGCCAGTCATGCCTGCTGTCCCCAGCGATGCATCAGACGGCCTGCTGGAGGACCTCATCGCCACCTACCTGGTGCTGCCCAACCGTGTGACTGTGCCGGTGAAGAAGGGGCTGGACGTGACCAGCCTGCGCTTCCCTCTGCCCTGTGTGAGTACCACAGTGACCACAGAGGCTGGGCCTCATGTTGGGGGACAGGCAGGCTAGAGAACAGAATGCATTATCAGATGGCAACCCTTATTTCCTCCCTGGGAGGGCCTGGTGCCCCCATTTTATAGGGCAAAAACTGAGTCTTGGGAAGGCTGAATGACTGCCCCAAAGTCACCCACCTGGGGAGGAGCAAAGCCCAGATGGCATTCCTTGCTGGATCCTGGTCCCACTGTGCAGGCTGGGTTGGGGACTGTGGGCAGCCACCGCCACCCCCAGAAGCTCTAGGAGCCTCCCTTCCTCCCTTCAGGGACGTGAGGCCCCCCTGACCCCATCACTCGGTGGGAAGAACCCTTGCCGTCTGCTGGAAGGAGAATGCTTCCGATGTGGGCTCTTCTGGGGGCTCAGCTCCGCTGCACGCTCCATCCTGGGCGTGGCACAGGAGGCCCCCAAGCACAGCTACGTGGCCTCCCCAGAGAAGGTGGCCTGGCTGTGGCCCAGAGCCCTTCAGGGCTGGAAGTCAGGGCCTTTACAGCTCTGATTATAGTCAGAGTCTCCCTTTCTTTGAGGGATGGCAGGACGCCACAGTTTTCCCCACCTAGCCTGTCTGACTTCATATGGTATGAGGAACACTTTATATTTTTGCCAATATGCCTTTAGGGCTAGAAGTGGGATTGCTGGGTCAGAAAGTAAACGCAGGGTACAGAGAAGGGGAATGTAGGAGGAGAGCACCTCAGGTGGCCTGGTTGCTGGCACAGCAGGAACTGACTGCCCTTGAATAGGCCACTCCCATGGCAGGCTGGAGGCAGGGAAGGTCTGGAAGGCCAGGAATGTGGGTGGGCGTCACACTGCCGCAGATAGAGCCCCGGGCCCTGCCATCATGTGCGGTGTGGTCTTGGCCAGGAGCCTGCCGACTCTGGTTTGTCTCCCTGTCCAGACTACGAGAGGGTGAGATCGGGCTGGGGCACGTTTGATGGTTTCAGCTCTGATGCTGTGGGACTTGTGGGCTGGCACAGCTCAGGAAGCAGCTGTGAGCACCGGGCTGGGGCGTTTTCCAGGGAGTCATCAGAGTCCACTTGCTGGAGGCAGAGAAGTTGGCCCAGAAGGACAGCTTTCTGGGGATCCAGGGCAAGTCAGACCCCTACGCCAAGGTGAGCATTGGCCTGCAGAATTTCCGGAGCAGGACCGTCTCCAAGAACCTGAACCCCACCTGGAATGAGGTGTTTGAGGTGAGGGTCTCCTGGGCCACTCTTGGCTGCTCTTGATGCCCTCCAGGGTCCATTCTGGGTTGTGCTGGGCCCCGAGAAGGAAAGGCCTTGCCCTCATGGGTCTCACATACCGTACCCATGGGCCACAGGAGTGGACCTGGAGGACAGGCATGCTGCTCTGAGTGATCCCTACTCCCTTACCCACAAGGCTTCTAGAGGTGGGCTGTGGTGGCCCTGTAGCAGGACAGCTTCTCCCCAAATTCCTACCTCCCTGACCCAGCAGAGTCAGCTCTGTCAGAAGTCTCAAATCAGAGTAGAAAAGAGAACCTCAGAGGAAGTTCTGCCCCAGTCCTCTTGGTGTCCCCTGCCAGTGCTGGGCACCAGGAGCCTGAAGTTCTTTAAGTTCAGCCGCAATCTTCATGTGAAATGCTCTGGAAGCTGCCAGTCCCAGACAGAACACAGTGGCCATTGTCCCTGAGCCCCACCTGCCATGGGCTTGCCCTGTCCTCCCCACCCTGCTGGGGAGGGTGTCACTCCCTTCCAGCTGGAGTTCTCCAAGCACTGAGGCCAGAACCTCCCCAGGCCTCCAAGCTGGCAGGTGGCAAGGCTGGAATCTGGGCCCCGCTTGGGTCATGCCTGAGGTCAGCTTCATTGGCTGTTATGGCCTGCAGGCTGTCACTTCTTTCCTTCCAGTTCATAGTGTATGAAGTCCCTGGGCAGGACCTGGAGGTGGACCTGTATGACGAGGACCCTGACAAGGATGACTTCCTGGGCAGGTGAGGGGAGGGCCCAGCTGGGCCTGGGGCCCTTGCTTCCATCACTCAGTGACCTCACCGGTCACTCTGACATGGTGACTGTCAGGCACGCTGCCCCATCGTTCCACATTCTTACCACAAGCCTCCTTCCTAAATGTCTCCTGAGTGCCCAGCCCTGAGCTGAGCCCTGGGGTACAGGGAGGATCCCGAGGTTTGTGTCCCATGGGCTCTGCTTTCTGCACTCCTGATAATGTACCCAGAGTTCCCACTTGGAGCAGGGGGCATGGGTGGCCAGGTTCCCAGTGCCAAGGAGCCCTGGCCACTCGCTTTGGGGCAGAACACAGAAACTCAGGGCTGTGGGAGGACTGAAATGGCCGGGCTGGGCTGGCTATCAAACCTTCAAACTTGCCCATCTTTTGGCCCAGCTCTCCCTCTTCCAGGAGGTGTAAAATAAAAGCATTACTCCTGAAATATTTATTGCACAACCATCTGTGGTGGCAAAACGAAAAAGCTGAAAATAACATGAATATCCAGCCTCAGAGGACACTGAATGTTTGAATATATTTGCTGTTGCCAAACTACAGAATATCCTACAGCTTCTACAAACGAGTAGATCTGTGTGTAGGACCTGGACGGTGTCCGTTACGTATTTGTAAGTCGGAGAAAGCAGTTCGGAGTGACCTGTGCAGTTTGATTCATCTTTCCAGGGAGGACTCTTGCTACGTATGTTTGTATGACTGCAGAGAAAAGCTTGGAAGCAGACTATTCACACTGCTCATCTCAGAGGCTGGGGCTAGGAAGTGGAAGAGAGTTTTACCGAAATCTTCATATTTCTATATTGTTTTGCTTGTTTCCATGAACATGTAATTTTACAAAGCAGAAAAAAAACGAAGTGGGAGGGGTATAATCTGATGGCCTAAGAAACAGCTCACTACCAGATGTTGCTTATCATTTTTATTTTTCATCTGAATGACAAAAGTTCCAAGTTTTGTAAAATTGCAGTTTAGAAGTGTTTGTGATTCGTGTTTTATGTAACTGATTTCAAGCCTAGTTAGAGCTCAGGCACATTTCTCACAGTTACACAGAATTAATGTTCCCCTGGCTGTCAGGATCTTCCATTTGGGATGGGGTCAGGGTAGGTGGGAGGCACACTGTGAATGTGGCTGTTACCTCCTCTCACACACACTTGCCAATCATACTTGGAGAGCACCTGGGGCAGTTTTGGAAATGGGGGGGCATTAGGGGTTGTCACAATGGCTCTGGGAGGTGGTATCACTGGCCTTTAGAGAGCACAGGACAGGGAAGCTCAGTTCCTGCAGTGCCCAGGCAGCTTTGTACAGTGAGGAAGCACCCCACCCAGATGCCAACAGCACGTCACTGCGGAGTCCAGAGCCACGGCCCAGCCCACCTTGCCACCTGTTCCTCTCGGGGCTCGCCTGCCGCGCAGGGCAGCATGCCCACAGCCCTGATGGGTAGACAGCCCTTCCTTTGCTTGAGCTCAGAGTGGTCTCCCACTGGTTCCTTGGGGTGAATAAGATCCTCTGCCTTGAGGGCCCCACTCAAATAACTGAAAGTAGATTCCAGGGCGGGCCTCTGCCTCCCACCTCCTCGTTGCAGAGCTGATCCCCACTCCCTGTGCATTCCAGCCTGCAGATCTGCCTCGGGGATGTCATGACGAACAGAGCGGTGGATGAGGTAGAGTGGGTGCCTGCAACCCCCTCCCGGTGGACATCACTGTTTCCATCCCACAGTGTAGCACCTCTGCCTGTCCCTCAAGCCCAGGGCCCACTGCCTAGGCTGGCTCACCTTTTCCCTGAAGCCCCTATTAGGGCTCCACCAGGTCCCAGAACTGAGCGTCCTGAAGGGGTCACTGGCCCTGCCCTCTCCCTGAGCCTTTCTCCCCATGCAGTGGTTTGTCCTGAATGACACAACCAGTGGGCGGCTGCACCTGCGCCTGGAGTGGCTTTCACTAATCACTGACCCGGACGCTGTGGCTGAGGTGAGGGGGCTGTCCGGGCCTCCCAGCAGAAAGCAGGGGAGAACTTGTGGCAGGCCTGGCCCATGGGCGGGCTGTGCATGTGGAGGGAGGGAGGGGGAACTTGCGGTCCTCTGGCGAGTCCTCCCGGAGAACATGCCCCTCAACCCTCATCTCCTCCTGAGGCAGCTCCTGATTTCTCAGCAGACAGCCTCTGAGTATCTCCGCCGTCTTCAGGGATGATGGGACCCTTGCAAGCCTGTCAGCCTAGCTCATGGGGGCAGTCCACCCTGTGTCTGACTTGAATCAGATATTCTGCAGTTTAGTCTCAGCCTCCGAATGCTAGGTTGTAAGGGATCTTATGTCTAGTCTGGAGTTCAAGGGCTGGCTGGCTTCCTCCTGCCATGAGGAGGCATCTCCAAACCCTGTCTCCTGCTGCTGGGACCCCTAGTGAGAGACTGTGTCTGCTTGTAGGACCAGAGCGGCCCTTCCACTGCCATCCTTGTGGTCTTCTTAGAGAGTGCCTGCAACCTGCCGGTGAGTGGGGGCATGGCCAGAGGGTCACACGCACCCTGCCTTTTGCTAGCTCTCTCACATGGCCACCTGTTGCTCACTCACCCTATTCTTGTGCTGCAGACAAACGCTTTTGACTACCTGAATGGCGAATATCGAGCCAAAAAGCTCTCCAGATTTACCAAGGTGTGTGTGTGTGTGTGTGTGTGTGTGTGTGTGTGTGTGTGAAAACTCGAGTGAAAGCAAGTCACAGCTCCTTTTCCCCAGAGTAAGCACAGCCTCCTGCCTTCTGGGAAGCCGTCAGTGTGCACGCAGCCTGGGGATGGCAAGGGTTGCCTTTCTTCAGGACCACTATGTTCTGGGCACTGGGCTTGGTAACTCACTGCCCCTCCCCCACATAGTCAGTATCCCCAAGTCCCATGATGACTGGGTGTCCATTTTCACTGCCATTTTACAAAAGAGGACCCAGAAGGTTGAGTGCCTGGGCCACACAGCTACGGGAGGGGCGAGAACTTGACTCCACCCTGTCTGTCCCCACCGCTCCAGGGGACAAGAGCTTGTGCCCAGCCAGGCCCAGCTCTGGCCTCAGCCCCGTCCTGGGGCTTGCACAGTGATGGCAGCCAGGGCCCCTGGGAGCACCAGAGTAGCCTGTCTCAGAGGGAAGCGACTAGCTGACTCCTGGTCCCATATGCTCCTGGGGCCTGGGGCTGGTCTCTCAAGCTGACACTGATGGTGCCACCTTCATTGAGGTGGATTTTTGCCCCCTCACAGAATAAAGTCAGCAGAGATCCTTCTTCCTATGTCAAGGTGTCCGTAGGCAAGAAGACACACATGAGCAAGGTGAGCTTGGTGTGCAGCTATGGGGCAAAGAAATGGGGCCCCAGTCCTCAAGGAGAGAAGCAAAAGAAAATTAGAGAACTGAAAAAGAGAACTGAATGCCTTGTAGGTCCCAGGACACAGTCCAGGCATTTTATATTAGTGTTCAGAAAAACCTCAGAATAGTTAGACAGCTCAAGATTCTGAGGGTCAGAGGTCGGTGACTTGCCCAAGGGCACATGCTGGATAGAGAGCAGCAGACCCAAAGGATAAGCGTGGGCGTCCTCCAGGCCTGTGTCCTCCCGCCCATCCAGCAGCAGCAACCCTGCGTCCCCTCCCTCCTGGAGGAGAGCTCGGAGGATAGCATGGCCTCCAGCCCCTGTGGGACTTCCTGGCAAAGCTCTCCTTGCCCTTGAGTCCGGATGCCCGCCCTGTGCCCCCCGTAAGCTATAGTGTGTGTGCGTCTGACACCTGGGCAGACAGAGGTGGCTCCCTGTGGTACTGGGTGGCTGGAGTGAGACCAGAGGGTGCTGGTACTGGTAGCCTCTCTGCACAACCTGACCCTTCTTCTGCCCTCAGACCTGTCCCCACAGCAAGGACCCCGTGTGGAGCCAGGTGTTCTCCTTCTTTGTGCAGGATGTGGCGGCTGAACAGCTACATCTGGAGGTTTGCTGGCAATCGTGCTCTGAGAACAGAGATAGGAGGCATCTGAGCCGGGAGGGGTAGGGCTTGGATGGGCACCTTGAGCAGGTTCTCCTGGCAGGGAGGTCAGCTCCATGTCCCAGAGGGTACTGGCACCCCACATCTTCTTGAGGCCATCACCTACGGTCACTGGGTGTGAGAGGTTGTGGAAGGACAAACCTTCAAGTCCCTCGGCTCTCCTGAAAAAGAGCCTTTCTGGCTGTTACACAGCACCCAGAAGTGGCTGGTGTTAGAATCTACCCAGGACATTAGGGTGATGTACTTCTTTTAAAAAAAAATTTAATCTTCACAAAATTAAAATCTGTGGGGGAGAGATCTTATCTTTATTTTACACATGAGCAAACAGAGGTTCTAACAATGACTTGTCCAAGATCTCATGACCAATGAAGTGGTAGAACTGGGACCTTTGGGAGCCTCAGCTCTGGCTGGATGTGCTGTCTGGATGAGTGGCACAGCTCACTAGCCGCCAAGGCCCTCGGTATTTGAGGGACTTGACTCATATGGATCATAATTGCCTCTACCCTGAGTCACTCTTTTCCCCTGAAGATAGGAAGCAGGCCTGGTCCCATTACCAAGCTTTCAGAAAAGGACTGGAGGCCAATAGAAGCATAGTGTACACCTGCTGAACTGAACTCAGACTCGGCTGGGGCCCAGAGAGCAGTGGTGCTGCGTGTGGGGCTTAGTTAGCCTCTTGTTTTGCGACTGGTCTTGTGCCCAGGTGCTGGATGATGACCAGGAGTGTGCGTTGGGAGTCCTGGAGTTGCCCCTGCGCCAGATGCTCCCCTGCACAGATCTCACCCTGGAGCAGCGCTTTCGGCTGGACCACTCAGGCCTGGACAGCCTCATCTCCATGAGGCTGGTGCTCCGGGTAACTTCCCCCTTGCCCCCAGGGTAGCAGAGCGGTCAGAGCTCTGGCTGTGGAGCAAGATGGACTGCCCCAACACGGACCGCCTGCTCTATGTTGGGAAGAAACTGGGAGATGGATTCATATTTTTCGTCAATTTTGGAGTACTGTCAGCCATTCTCTCTTCAAATATTGCCTCTCTGGTTCTTTATTCCCTCCTCCTGGAACTCCCTCTCTGCTGGACCTCATTATCGCCTCCATGTCTTGACCTAACCTCACCTTCGTATTTTTTGCCTATTTGTGCTGCACGTTAATTTCTACAGACCTGTCTTCCAGACTATGAATTATTTCTTAGGCTGTACCTAATCTGCTGTTTTACCTGTTCCCAAATGTTTATTTCAGGAGCTATTTTTCATTTCTAATTTTGTCTTTTCCAAATTTACCTTGTCTTTTTTCACTATTTTATTATCATGTTTCTATTCCATCTTTAATCATTTGCAAACACTCATATTGTGTGTCTGTTTATTCTATTATCTAAAGATCTTGGGAGTTAACTTTGATTTTGTTGTGTCTGCTGATGCTCTTCATGGCAACTCATTTCTGCATCTGGTGACCTGGGTTTGCAAACATACACTCAGTGTTCCTTTGTGACCTGGATCAAGGTTATTCACTTCCAACAAGGTTCTGCTTTTGCTACAACCAGGCCCTTCAGAGGCATTACAAACCTGGGTCCATTTTTATGCTAATTTTTTAATTTGGGGTTTCAAGAGCACAGAGGAAGTATAAATACTAACTCAAAATTCATAAGGTGCCATGTTCTCAGGAAACACAAGTTCTCCCCAGCCAGAGTACAGGCTGAGACAGACACATTCCTTATCACCTTTCTTGGCTGGTGGGTGAAATGTTTATCCCAGAACTACTTGTTCACCAAAGAGATCCCACCTTCATGGGTCTCACTTCAACTCTCTCTGAACCAAGGCTGATAAATGACCCTAAAAAACCTTAACCTTTATTTTTCAGTTTTCTCTTTTTTAACCCTAGGGTTAGCTTTCAGAAAAGGACTGGAGGCCAATAGAAGCATAGTGTACACCTGCTGAACTGAACTCAGACTCGGCTGGGGCCCAGAGAGCAGTGGTGCTGCGTGTGGGGCTTAGTTAGCCTCTTGTTTTGCGACTGGTCTTGTGCCCAGGTGCTGGATGATGACCAGGAGTGTGCGTTGGGAGTCCTGGAGTTGCCCCTGCGCCAGATGCTCCCCTGCACAGATCTCACCCTGGAGCAGCGCTTTCGGCTGGACCACTCAGGCCTGGACAGCCTCATCTCCATGAGGCTGGTGCTCCGGGTAACTTCCCCCTTGCCCCCAGGGTAGCAGAGCGGTCAGAGCTCTGGCTGTGGAGCAAGATGGACTGCCCCAACACGGACCGCCTGCTCTATGTTGGGAAGAAACTGGGAGATGGATTCATATTTTTCGTCAATTTTGGAGTACTGTCAGCCATTCTCTCTTCAAATATTGCCTCTCTGGTTCTTTATTCCCTCCTCCTGGAACTCCCTCTCTGCTGGACCTCATTATCGCCTCCATGTCTTGACCTAACCTCACCTTCGTATTTTTTGCCTATTTGTGCTGCACGTTAATTTCTACAGACCTGTCTTCCAGACTATGAATTATTTCTTAGGCTGTACCTAATCTGCTGTTTTACCTGTTCCCAAATGTTTATTTCAGGAGCTATTTTTCATTTCTAATTTTGTCTTTTCCAAATTTACCTTGTCTTTTTTCACTATTTTATTATCATGTTTCTATTCCATCTTTAATCATTTGCAAACACTCATATTGTGTGTCTGTTTATTCTATTATCTAAAGATCTTGGGAGTTAACTTTGATTTTGTTGTGTCTGCTGATGCTCTTCATGGCAACTCATTTCTGCATCTGGTGACCTGGGTTTGCAAACATACACTCAGTGTTCCTTTGTGACCTGGATCAAGGTTATTCACTTCCAACAAGGTTCTGCTTTTGCTACAACCAGGCCCTTCAGAGGCATTACAAACCTGGGTCCATTTTTATGCTAATTTTTTAATTTGGGGTTTCAAGAGCACAGAGGAAGTATAAATACTAACTCAAAATTCATAAGGTGCCATGTTCTCAGGAAACACAAGTTCTCCCCAGCCAGAGTACAGGCTGAGACAGACACATTCCTTATCACCTTTCTTGGCTGGTGGGTGAAATGTTTATCCCAGAACTACTTGTTCACCAAAGAGATCCCACCTTCATGGGTCTCACTTCAACTCTCTCTGAACCAAGGCTGATAAATGACCCTAAAAAACCTTAACCTTTATTTTTCAGTTTTCTCTTTTTTAACCCTAGGGTTTTTCTTACTTTCTTGTGGAGTTGGTTATGCATTTAAAAGACTTTCATTGTATTGGGCATTCTAATAAGGCTTTTCAGAATATTTTGGCTACCATATTGCTAGAAATGGAAGTCCTTAGGAAGGGTCTTGCTAATTAATGACTGAGGGGAAAGGGGCAGGAGAAACACAGTGGCTGAGGTTTGAAACTTTGGTGCTAGGAGCATAGGGGTGTGTGTGGCTAGGAAACACATTTCAGGGAAGGCAGTGGCGCATAAGGTGACGGCAAGACTGGAGGCATAGATCTGAGAGTCCTCGGCACAAAGAGTGTATCCTGTGAGGGGGCCGGGTCTCCAACTGCCACTGCGAGTATAGGGAGAGAAGAGGGACAGGACTGAGTCTTCATGAAGACCCACTATTTGGGCAGGTGTAAGGGAAAAGACAAAGAAGCATTGGTCAGAGGGGGCTGGGGCAGAGAGTGGTTAAGAAAGATAGGGTCTGGAAGGAAAAAAAGTCATTGGATTCAGCAGTCAGGAAGGAGCCATTTCTCAAAAGCTGAGTGCAGAGGAGGAGAAAGAGAAGTGGTAGGCCCAGCCCACAAACTACCCTGTCATTTGCTTGCAGTTCCTGCGTGTAGAAGAACGAGAGATGGGGAGCCCATACACAGGACCTGAAGCCCTAAAGAAAGGTCCTTTGTTCATTAAGAAGGTGGACATCAACCAGGGCTCCAAGGCCCCACACCAGGGAGAGGGTCCTACTGATTTTCCAGGCCCTCCACCCCCTGCTTCTGATACTAAGGACGCCTCCAGGAGTGCCACGACAGCCACCAATGCCACCACTGTTGCCACTAAACCAACACCCCAGGAGGCAGGCCCAGAGCCCAAAGGCAAGGACAGTGCCAAACGGTTCTGTGAGCCCGTGGCGGAGAAGAGGAGTTCATCCACCGTCTTCCTGACGGTCCCAGGCCTTCACTCTCCAGGGCCCATCCAGTCACCCAGACCCGTGAAATGCCCTGTGTCCCCATTCGCATGGCCACCCAAGAGGCTGACGCCCAGCATGTCCTCACTCAACTCTCTGGCCTCCTCCTGCTTTGACCTGACAGATACCAGCCTCAACAATGAGTATGCACCTCTCTGCTTAATCTTTTCTAAAATCACCTGCATGAAAAATACCTCCCTGGATGGAAAAATAGATGTGAGCTTACTTTTCTGTGCACGTTCTGGCTCTCACATAATGGCTTCATGAGAGGCAGCACTGCATGGCAGGAAGAGCAGGCATACACCAGACAGGTGGTGTGGCTTTAACTACGTGCCAGCCGTAAAACAGATGCTATATTCTGGTTGGTATGTTCATTACAGCAGAAGTGTTTCCTGAGTTCTAAAGGATACTGGGATGGATGGAAAGCTCAGAACTTGGAAGTCTGTGATCCACAGCTGCCATTTATTAAGTGGTCACTGTGGGCTTTGGATGTTGTTTCAATTTGATCTTCATGATAACCCTACAAGGCAGAACTCACTATCATAAAGGTCAAAAACTCACCCAAGGTCCCACAAGAAATCACGGAATAAAGGCAGACCCACTCCAGGGTTCAAGTCTTCCTTCCATGAGGTAGGATAATTATATATACATGCTGAATGGAACTGACTTCTGACTGAAAGGAACCTTACTGAGAATTATTAACCCACATGGCTCTAGGTTCCTAAAGCAGGGCATGCTTCTGGCTTGGGCGTGTGGGGTGAGGCCAACACTTAGCACATAAGAGAAGTGACAGGCCCTTTCTTTACAGAGGCGGGGAGTTCGGGCAGCAGGGGCTGGGCCAGATTCAGCTCACTGTGCGCTATGTGTGTCTGCGGCGCTGCCTCAGTGTGCTCATCAACGGCTGCAGGTAAAGGGAAGCTGGGGCCAGGACAGGTCCTTGGGGAGCCTCAGGTGGACAGAAATCAGAGTGGGGGCATGGAACAATGGCAGAGGCAGGCAGCCCTAAGGTAGATAAGTCACACACAGGGAAGGAGGGAGGTTGGAAGGCCTGCACGCTGTGAGCACCAAGGTCCTCAGTGGTGCTGACAGGCTCCAAAGCCAAGGACTGCTTAGACAACCGCTGCAGAACTGGACTGGCTGGGAGCTAGTGCACTTTCTCAAGTGGGAAGCTCCAACTCCCTTTGCATATAAAGTATATGCTCTGCTCCAGACTTTGAAAAACCCATTCTTAAAACAATGCATCTGATGTTTTGTCCTCCAAATTCTGGAGACTTTTGCTTTTTTAGTTACCAGACTACAGGGCATTTTATCCTCAAGGCCATCTATAACTGAATGGCTAGTACAGTTTTCTCTGAATGAGTTTTTTTCAGTGTTTTAAAACGAAGGGCCTTTTTTCTTTAATATTTTTTAAACCAAATCAGAAACCTGATGCCCTGTACCAGCAGTGGAGCTGATCCCTACGTCCGTGTCTACCTGCTGCCAGACAGGAAGTGGGCATGTCGTAAGAAGACCTCAGTGAAACGGAAGACCCTGGAGCCCCTATTTGATGAGACGTAAGTGGGCCTGTTGGCCTGCCTAGAGTGCCTCAAGCATTTGAGTATTTGCTGAGTACCTGTTGTGTGCCTGGTAGCCTGCTAGATGCTGGGAAGGGCTAGAGTTGAACAGGACAATGTGGTCTTTGCCTTCATGAAGCTTCTATGCCTTAGTAAGAGAAAAGGACTGCCAGAGCAGTTTAGCTGAAGAGCTACCCACGTTTCTTTACCCTGGGGGTGGCTAAAGTGTTCCCGCTTATGAAATGTTCTATACTCTTTCTCTTTAAATGAAACCTCTGGCAATAAAAGGATTTGGATCTGGTCAAACATGTATTCTTTGAATCTGCTTTAAAAGCAACAGTTAAAAATAATGTTGTTAAAATATATGTTGAATCTAAGGATCTAAAATTTCCTCCAAAGCTCCAGTCTTTCCTTATGCAACAAAGCACAGGGGGCAGGTAATATGTTTACTATATATTTACTTTTACCAGTGAGATTAATACTTCCATGTGTGTTTTTGTTGCTAATTAGTGCCCTTTTTAAGGCCAGTTTAGTGATGATGAACTCCTTTGGCTCGTCTGGAAAATTTTCTCTCTTCTTCAGTACTGAGTGAGAACTTTGCCAGGTAGAGTACTCTTGGTTGGAAGTCTTCTTCTTTCAGCACCTTGCAGTCCTAAGGGAATCACAATGTATATTCGAAGTTTCTGCTCATAGTCCTAAAGGGGTTCCTTATACATAACAAGCTCTTTTTGTTGTTGATTTTAAGATTCTCTTATCTTTAACTTTTGATATTTTAATTATAATGTGTCTTGATGTGGGTTACACATTCACAGGAGGCCTCTGAGTTTGCCAAGTCTGCCCTTCAGATAATCCAGGCATATCTTTCTGTTATAATTTTGAGAGAAAGAATTACTAACAGATTAGGTTTGTCATAAAAGTCAAATATCTCCTTCCTGTGTCCCCGTTTAACAATTTTGGCATCCTTTAATAACTGTGCCAGAGGTCTTTTTGAGGGCAAAACCTCCTACTTGTGTGGCTCTAGAATATAGGATGGTACCTGGCAAAGTGTTCAACAAATACTGAGAAAACAAATTCTCTCTCCTCCACACCCTTTCTTAATGTTGATGACCCCAAAGTGTAGTTCTTGAAGGAACATATTAGTTCTTAGACATAGCTAAAGATGACTCAGTATACCTCTTTTAAAATGAGTAGTCATTGACCAAGATAAGAGGAAATCAAAATTATTAGGTATTGTATCTTCCTAGGCCAGTTAGAGATGTCTTTTCTTAGGATCCTGAAGCAGAAGGAAGCAGTGATGAGATTCTGATTTCAGTACCTTGAGGTCAAATCAAAACCAAGAATATTTGTGATAACACTTGCTACCAAAGACCCATTAAAAACAAGAAATGTGATTAGAGTGTCTTTCAGTCATACTCCAAGGACATGAGTAGACAAGCCAATGTAAGCTGTTTCATCTGCCACCTATGCTTTGTTGCAGAAGGGAAAACAGGCGTAAAAATTTGGAGCTTTGGAAGAAATTTTAGGCCTATAGGTTCAAGGTATGTTTATACTGTTGCTCTTAAACCAGATTCAGAGAAAACATATTTGACCAGTTTCAAATCCTTTTACTGCTAAAGAGACTTCATTTAGAGAGAAAGAATACAGGACAATTTCTAAGTAGTTATACTTTTAATCATTTATAAATATACTGGTTAATCACTTATAAAGCTAGTATGAAAGTTAAAAGACAAAAGAAATAAAAATAATTATAACTACAGTAATTAGTTATGGGATACACCAGATGAAAAGATATAAAAGTGAAATTAAAATATAAAACGAGTTGGGGAATAAAAATGTGGAACTTTGGAATGTGTTAAAACTTAAATTCTCAACTTAAGCTTACATATAATAACTTTTAAGCCTACCTTAATGGTAACCACAAAGCAAAAACCCATAGCGGGTACACAGAAGATAAAGAAATCTAAGCATACTACACAAAAGAAGAAAACAAAAGAAAGAACAGAGAGGAACTACAAAGTAGCCAGAAAACAATTAACTAAATGGCAATAAGAACATACCTATCAATAATGACTTTAAATGTAAATAGGTTAGAATTTCCAATCAAAAGGCATAGAGTGGCTGCATGAAAAAAAAAAGACACATCTATCTATATAAGAGACTTCATACAGATTGAAAGTGAAGGGATGGAAAAAGATAGTCCCTGCAAATAGAAACCAAAAGAAAGCTGGGATAGCTTTAGACAAAATGGACTTTAAAACAAATAAGAAACAAGGACATTACATAATGATAAAGGAATCAATCCAACAAGAGCATATAACATTTATAAATACTTATGCATCCAACATAGGAGTACCTAAATATATAAAGTAAATATTAACAGACTTAAAGGAAGAAATATAAAACAATACCATAACTGTAGGGGACTTTAATACCCTACTTACATCAATGGATAGATCATACATAAAATCAATCAGGAAACAGTGGCTTTGAATGACACATTAGAGCAAGGGACTTATTCTATACAGAACATCCCAATAAAAAGCAAAAGGATATACACTCTTCACAAGTGCACATGGAACATTCTCCAGGGTAAATTACATGTAGGCCATAGAACAAGTCAAAATAAATTTAAGAAGATTGAAATCTTATCAAGCATCTTCTCCAACCATAGGATATAAGCCTAGGAAATCAAGAAGAAAAACAGAAAATTTATAAAGCTTACCAAAAGTTTAGGATGCAGCAAAAACAGTTCTAAGCAGAAAGTGCATAGTTATGGATGCCTATATCAATGAACAAGAAATATCAAATAAACAACCCAACTTTACAACTCAAGGAATTAAAGAACAAAGAAAGCCAAAGTTACTAGAAAGAATAACAAAATCAGAGCAGAAATAAATGAAGTACACAAAATAGGAAAGATCAATAAAGGTACAAGCTGATTCTTTGGAAAGATAAAATTGACAAGCCTTTAGCTAGATAAAAAGAGGACACAAAATCAGAAATGAAATAGCAGATATTACCATTGGTACCACAGAAATACAAAGGATTTGAGAGACTGCTATGAAAACTTAAATTCTAACAAATTGGGTAACATAGAAGAAATGGATAAATTTCTAGGAACATATAATCTTTCAAGGCTGAATCTGGAAAAAACAGAAAATCTGAATAGACCAGTTACTTGTAACAAAATTAAATCAGGAATCAAAAAACTCCCAACAAACAAAATCCAGGACCAGATGGCTTCATAAGTGAATTCTACCAAACATTTAAATGTGTTAATACCTATCCTTTTCAAACTCTTCCAAAAAATAGAAAAGGAGGGAACACTTCCAAACACATTTAATGAGGCCAGTTTTACCCTGATACCAAGAAAAGGACACAACAACAAAAAAATCACAGGCCAATATCCCTGATGAACATACAAGCAAAACTCCTAAACAAAATATTAGCAAACCAAATTCAATAACATTAAAAGGATCATATGCCAAAATCAAGTGGGATTTACTCCAGGGATGCACAGATGGTTCAACATCTGAAAGCCCATTAGTGTGAAACACACACCATGTTAACAAAACAAAGGATAAAAATCATGATCATCTCACTAAGTGTACAAAAAGCATTTGACAAAATTCAACATTCATTATGATAGAAACTATCAAGTGGGTATGAGGAAACATACCTCAGCATAATAAAAGCCATATATGATAAACCCACACCTAACATACTAAACAGTGAAAAGCTGAAATCTTTTCCTCTAAGGCCAGAAACATGACAAGGATGCCCACTTTCTCACTTTTTATCCCAACACTGTAGTGGAAGTCCTTGCCAAACCAATTAGGCAAGAAAAAGAAAAGGCATTCAGTTAAAAAAAGGAAGTAAGTTAACTATCAGTATTTGAAGATGACATGGTATTATATACAGAAAACCCTAAAGATGCGATCAAAAAACTGTCAGAACTAATCAACAAATTCAGTAAAGTTGCAAGATACAAAATCAATATGCAAAAATCTGTATTTATATACACTAAAAATGACCTAACAGAAATGGAAAGAACAAAATGGGGAGGAAAAATGGCAGAGCAGGAAGGCAAGGTGGAAACCTCCTCCCACACACAAACCAAGGAAGCAACTACAACAAATACAACTAACCCTGAAAACAACCTGAAGACTGCAGAACAGATGACCTACACCTGGTGAGAAAAGACAACACACAGAAAACTGGAAAGTGGCAGAGTGATGACTGAGCAGGACAGAAACTCTTCCCCTGACCCCCATCCCAGCCCACAGGTGAGAGGAAGAGGAATAGAGTAGGGAGGGGATAAAGGGGATAGGCACTCAGGAACTCCACACACCAGGCCCTGGAGATCTACTCTGGGAATAAAAGTCCAGATTGCATTGGGTTTTGATCATTAGTGGGGCTGGGCATCAAGGACAGTTGGAACACTCTGGGAGGCTGAGACTCCAGCTACCTGTGGAGGACAAACACACCATGTTGGTCCTGCTGAGAACCAACACAGCTTGTAAGATTTGTGAGCAGCAGGAAGGGTGTCAAACAGGCAAGGGCTGGATGGAGCTCTCTCCATAGGAGGAAGGGCAGGAGGATGATACCTCCTCAGCCCTCCTTTGGCCCAGATGCTCCATCCCCCTTGCTGGTGGCTCAGCCCAAGGCACTTCCCTATGCACCTCTGGCACATGAGCCCACTTGGCCTAGCAGCATCAGACTTTGCTGCCTGGCAGGCAGAGGGAGGCTTTCCCAGCTTTCTTGGGCCAGTCTCAGCCCTGTTGGGCACCTACAGAAGTCACCTCCAAGCACTCCTTCCTCCCCGTGGGCAGCCAAACCTGGTGCTGCACACCTTGCCAATGGCAAGAGGGTGCCCATGTGACTTGTTGCAGCACAACTTTCCACCTCCACATGCCTGCAAACCCTCCCGCTGCACAACCACCCCACCCACAATGATTCCAGCAGAAGCCACTGCTCTGATTAGAGAGAGTGTTAGCTGA